CCATTAGTGGGTTTATGGCAAACTGTGGCAGATGGAGGTGCGGGTAGCGATACATAGATTTGGCGGGACTTTTTATGGTGAAAAATGTAGCCAAGTACGTGGCTTAATCAGGAAGGATCCACTGCACTAACGTTTCTGATCCCTGAGACCTACGATCCCACCCCCTTTGACTGCCATTACCCCTCTTTCTCATCGTCACGCCAAGTGCGGGCAGCCGGAACCTGATAGTTCGCCACCTTGGCAAGGCTATGCCGGCGCAGTTCCCGAGGTGCCCCGGAACGTGCCGTCGTCGAGGAAGTCACGCTTTCAACGGCGCCAAATGGCGCGATCGGTCATCTCTTGGAAGGCGATTGTCTGCCAAAACTGGGCTAGAGCTCAGTAACATGATGCTTGATATCACTGGCCAGGAAAATGCTGCCATATCCAGATCCTGTTGAAATAGCCGACTTGGTGTCTTCGTCACATTGGTTAGACATCCATTGGAGTAGACACCATGCCGTCAGCGACTGGCCCATTCAGCAAAGGATCTTGACGGGGCGCAACGAGCACGCCTTTTGCCGGGCAGCGCAGCCGCATGGCCTCCTTTTACGTGATAGGCGCCAACGAGCCCGCTGTTGGCGCTCTGACAGCGTTATGCCCGATTGATAACGGTAAAGGCCTCCGCCCGGATTTGTGGGAGCAGCCACGGCTCGCAGTGCGGAAAACACTCGATATTGCCTCGGCCTTGGCCTCAATGGCACGGACCGAGCTTGATCGCCCACAACTCGCTGATGCATCTCCTCTGCGCTCCAGAGTAGATCAGCCTGCGGCTTGTTCCAACAGATGCCGCCGGTGTAGCTGCCATTATTCCTGCAGTGAACCTCCTGAACGGCATGGATAGGTGCAGACTGTCCTCTGGTCTTCCGCTGTGGTGGCCACATGTGCTCTGGTGCTTGCCTTGCAATAGCTGACATTGATAACGTGGGCTGTACTTCATGTAGCCTGTGGGCCCGGCGGGGACGGGACCTTCAAGCCGACGGCGACGATCTACTTGGTCGGGAGCGCACGCCGCATGCTCACGAGCCGGCCGCGCACTCCCAGAAGTGCAGCATGTCATCTCGCGGTACCCAGGCCCTCTGAATCAGAGGCTCCAGCTTCTCAGGGCGGTCGGCGTTGCTGAAAGACGTGCGAGTGGGGCGTCCAGGATTTGCCCTTGGTCCAGGATGTTGGGCCAGATGATGAGCACATTTGTTTGTCCGAACGACGCGCTCTCCCGCGACGGAGGTCACAAATGAGCCAAGCATTGATACGAGTGCGGCTTTGGGGGCCAGGGTTAAAGCGGCTGACCAGACCTGCCTAACTTGAGGATCTGGCCGCCAAATTGTGGGTGTTGGACATTTATGTGAAGGTAAAGTTGATTGACCCCCGTTCACCAGAAAAAAACGCCGTCTGAAGCGAGACATGGGCAAGTCTTGGCGCGGTATCACGCAGTCGACAACACCCCACAGCCGCCGCAGAGCTGCCCCTGTCTCCGCAAACAGCCAAACCACCAAGCGAGGCTGGGCAGCACGACCCTCTCTCCTTTCCTCCTTGTCTCAACAGCCGAGGGCGATCATGACGGGACGGGACCAGACATTACTGACTAGGGTAGGCGAGCACGAGGAGTGCGCGCATCGCCTCACCTGCACAGCCGCCATCAACACAGCGCCACAATGGGCAAAGGATGCTAGCTCGGTGACAAGGTTTGAACATTAACAGCATGTTTGTTCAACGGTTGCCTGAAGAATGGTCAAGAGCTCCATCCACGTCTGTGTGCTCCTGTCTCGGCGGTTCGGAGTCAGACAAAAAGCCCGAAGTCGACAAATTGGTGAGGCCACCGACGTGAAAGGGCCGCGTCCGTCTGCTATAAATATCAAGCGTGGCGTGCTGTCGATCTGATTCCTGCCAAATGGCGGGAATTCCCAGGTGGTGACATCCCTACCTGGTAGGTAGGTCCCTGGTACCTAGTCACCAGCCTCCAAAAAAAATCCGCACACGTAAACAAAAGGGGCGCACTTTGAAGTCAATTTACTCGCACCAAATAATAGCCAGTGCCTA